TCCGTCCAACCTCCCAATACAAGAAAAGAAGGCCGTCTCTTCCCTGAGCAAAGACCACAACATCACTGTTTTACCAGCTGATAAGGGAAGATGCACCGTGGTCCTAAACACTACAGATTACCATACAAAGATCACTACTCTCCTCAGTGACAACAATACCTACGAAGCCTTAAAGCGAGACCCCACAAGCAGCTACAAAAAGAAAGTTATAGCTTGCCTTCAAGACTTTGAAAAGGACAAAATTATTGACCGCCTTAAATATCACCGCCTTTACCCAGGGGATGCCATACCCTGCATTTACGGACTTCCTAAGATCCACAAGGAAGCTGTCCCACTCAGACCCATAGTCAGTAGCATAAACTCAGCCACTTATAACATTGCTAAACACCTTGCTACCGTCCTGGCACCTCTTGTGGGGAACACCCCACACCACATGAAGAACGCCACCGACTTCACCGACAAGGTCCAGAAACTTCCCCTGGATCCAGATGAAACCATGGTGTCCTTTGATGTAAATGGCCTGTATTTATATAGCGCTTTACTAGTCCCTAAGGACCCCAAAGCGCATTACACAACCAGTCATCCACCCATTCACACACACATCCACACACTGGTGATGGCAGCTACATTGTAGCCACAGCCACCCTGGGGCGCACTGACAGAGGCGAGGCTGCCGGACACTGGCGCCACCGGGCCCTCTGACCACCACCAGTAAGCAACGGGTGAAGTGTCTTGCCCAAGGACACAACGACCGAGACTGTCCAAGCCGGGGCTCGAACCGGCAACCTTCCGATTACAAGGCGAACTCCCAACTCTTGAGCCACGATCGCCCGAGAGACTTCTTGTAGTCTCTCTCTTCACTTGCATACCCACCACGGAGGCCGTGGAGACTGTCAGACAACGACTACAAGAAGACAGCTCCTTGGAGGACAGGACCAACTTCACACCTGATCAGATCTGCACACTGTTAGACCTCTGCCTCACCACCACATAATTCAAATACAACGACGGTTTCTACAGACAAAAACATGGCGGTGCCATGGGCTCCCCCGTGTCACCTATTGTAGCCAACCTTTACATGGAGGAAGTGGAAAGGAAGGCTCTTGGCTCTTTTAAAGGGAGAGTACCCAGGCATTGACAATCCATTCATTGGATTCGCTGTTTGTTTAATTTTGTGCATCGTTGTAAGTTGACATATTTGCAGAACAATTTGTGTCGTGCACTTTAATAATAAAGCAATGTGCTGGTTTTGCACCGTCTTCTCTCACTGTTTCCATTTTAAAGGGAAAGCAGAAGAAAGCTGACATGTATTTTTATAACTACAGGATCAAACATTTCCCAGAGGTTTGTTCAGTCTGATGATGCTGCATCAAAACCTGCAGCATCTATCATACAATGTTTAGATCTTAGGAATCAGTTAAATGAGTCAGACTTCAGACCTTTAGGACAGTGTGGGATGTTTTTATACATGAAAATTATCCACAAGTTCTAAAGAAACATATATTTAAAATCACCTGCTGTCCTTGGGTTTAGCTTGTGCAGTTTTGTGCTTTATTTGCTCCTCCCATCTCAAGACTGACATGACCTTTCTGAGTGCGGGTTATCTATGTAGAGCAACCGTCCAAAGATGCAGCTGCACTGCCCTCTTCTGCAGAGAAGCCAAACTGCAACATCAAGAAATAAAAGTAAACCTGACACGTCCTTCTACTCACCTCTTCTCAAACCAATCTCATGTTTCTTCTGGTTAAAACAATAATAAGTGTTTGTTAGACTCCTTAAAATATACTCTAAAGTAAAAGCTCTTTTGCCTTTTCCATTTCAGGGTCCAGAGGGGGCCGTAGTCTATCCCCCTCCCAGCAACCATACAGCAAGAGGTGGGTTACACCCTGGAAACATCGCCAACCAGGGCCAAAGAGAGACAGACAACCATTCACTCACCTTCACACCTAAGTGTGATCTAGAATCAGAAAGTACCCCCCCACACACACACGGAGAGCAAACCCCACAGACCCACAATACCACACACACATCATGTCAGAAAAGTCCCAACAAACCTCTGTGAACAAAACAGTTTTAATAAGAACTTTCACGGCATTAACAGAGTGTCCCGTGTGAACAGCTCACAAACCAAAAACACGGGCAGATAAATTTAACAGTTGTTGTGCTGACACTGGATGTTTCAAACACAGCAAAGAAATAAGCAGAGTAACATTTTTCTTGGTTTCATGCATATAAAATTACAGTGATTTTTTATCTTTAGTCTTAAATATTTAGTCTCATAAATTTGCCTTTTTATTCCTTTCATAATAAAGCAAAAGCCTGTCTCTGGCCTTCAGAGGACAAACTAGTTCACAGAGACGTTAATGCTCTATGAGTCTGTAAAACAGCTTCTTTTTTAAAAACAAACAAAAGTTGATGCATTTTTACTCCATCCTGGTAACATAAACAAACCCTGAAGCTGCATTTATAGAGACCAAACCAAAAAAACAGAAAATTCTGTTTTCTTCAAGTGAACCTTCGATAAACTCTGTGCCTCTGTGAGGTTAGGATCATCACACACTCAGGATTATAACACTCAGTGTTTCATTGTGCAGACGTGCTGAATCACATGCATTGGATTACAAAAAGACACCAAACCAGAACAAAAAAACAACCTGGCGAACATTGTAAGGGAAACACACATGAGACAGTTTACTGCAGACTGTATGTGAGCCAAGGTTACACCTGCAAAACAGAAAGATGAAGCCAGAGCTGCAGTTCCTCTGATATCCACTCTATCCCTGCAGCTGTTTTGCATCCTCATGATAACTGTGCTGGATGTGACTTATCTTTGGTGTCTTTGACTGACAGCTGTGAATCACCTCGGCTATTTCACCACAGCTGATTGAGTCCCTGAAATGGACCTCTGGACCGTGTTTGTGCTGTTGGAGTATTTATTTAACCACTAATATGACTGCTGTGCAGTTAAATGTACAAACAGATCATCTAACACAGCGGTCCCCAACCCCCGGGCCTCAGACCGGTACCGGTCCGTGAGTCGTTTGGTACCGGGCGGTGAGAGTTGAGGCTCAGGTGTGAAATGTCTGGTTTTCAGGGTTTTTATCGGTTTCAGTGTTATTTTGTTATCGTTTTTATCGTTATCTCGGTTTTCCTGGGTCTGTTCACGTGTGTTATGAATAAATCTTCTTTTTTTCGGTACCAGTACTAGTTTTATTTTGTTGTATTTATCCGCGACACCTTAAAGGTCGGTCCGTGAAAATATTGTCGGGCATAAACCGGCCCGTGGCGCAGAAAAGGTTGGAGACCGCTGATCTAACATACCCGAGCTCCAGTTTGGTGAGTGGAATTTTAGGGCTTTACTCATCAGTTATTAACTAATTAGCCGGATCTGTGTCTACAAAGCTGCACCAATAGAGTCTGTGGATACAGTCGGCTAACTATCCAGACAGCCAAAGAAAACTGCAGATGTGAGGCACATTTGGGACAAGCAGTCATTCCCGTCTGAGCTAGCGTTCTAGCATCATGGACCCGTCCTCTCTGATGTCTCTGTTTGTTTGCTCTCAAATGTTTTGCTCAGTTGTTGTAACCTTTTGTGCGATTCCACAAACCCACGTGATTAAAAAAACGATCATATGAGACTTTACTCTTATTATTTAACATGCTGTAGTAAAAGACAAAATGCTGAACAAAGAATCTGTGTGATGTGATGAAACCGATTATTTTGCAAACAGCGTCAATAAAAAAAACATCCAGACGTGTAAAGTAAGACTTTCAAACTCTGATATGAGGCTTTGTGCAGAGCTGTTTAGCTTTTGATCACTGCAAATATTTGGAAGTGATTTTCTGTGTCACTGGTTTTGACTTTAAAAGCAGTAAAAGTGTGAGGTGTGTTTGGATTTAAAATAAAAGTAAACTACATATAATTGCAGGATGCTGTAAAAGGACCAAACTTCAGCCAGGAGAACAACTGAGATAATCCATCCACAATACCAGGTTAGTCATTCATATACTGCTGCATGGGCTGGGCTGTAGTTACATCCTAAGGTTTTAAAAACTGAGCTTAAATAAATGATTAGCGGTAATAAAAGCTGAGGGAGGTCAACAGTGATCACTGACTGTTTTAGGAGCTTTTTGAGATCAAATAGAAGAAAATACAAAACATTAAACATGTTAACAACACAAAAGCCATATTAAACGCAGACTACTTTAGGCCCGGAAGTAGGATTCGTCACGTCATCACTGAACAACCGGGTACCAGAAAGCATTTTTGGAGGGAAAAACCAGATTTGACTCTTATGAGATTTCCCTTTTTTCCTTTTTGTTTCCAGATTATGATTATTTGCAAGAAAACAGTTTGTAGTTCAGATCGTAATCACAGAAGCAGCATTACCATGTTTAGAGTATAAAAAGTCTGTATTTGCCAGACAGAATTGATTCAGATTAAAGTGTGTTAAATATGAATAATGTGGGACAAGAAAGGACAAATTGAACCTATTATTACTTCATCAAGGCTACAAAGTCGAGATCAGATGCATCAAAGCACCGATACCAACTTACCCTCAGGAACAAAGGTGGTGGGGATGCTGTTCTGAGAGTCAGATAGCTCAATGAAAAGTATTAAGGCATGATGAATGGGTTCATAAATGCCTGAATGCTGAAATCTAGAGTGACCAATTCAGTGCTGGAATGAAAACAGTCGCAAGCCTAAAACCTCTGTGATCTGAAGATATGAGCACGATACAACTTAAATTAAGAAAAACAGCAGATCACTTATTTCTAATCTTGTCAGCGTTAATCTAATTAAAATGACGTTAACGTCATAACCGCATTGACGCGGCAAATTTCCGTTAGCAAATTATCACGGATCACCCCGAGCGTGGGCTGGACCGCGTCAACACATTAGCGTGGTTAGCTCGTTAATGCGTTAGCGCTATCCAGCCCCACGCACGGGGCGATCCGTGATAATTTGCTAACCATACTTGCCACGTTAATGTGGTCATGGTGTTAATGTAATTTTAACGCTGAGATTAACGCTTAGAGCTCTACTCATTTCATTTCATTCATCCTTCTCAACTAACGGCTCTGCAGACACCCATCTACACATCTAACTGGTAAATTTCAGTTGCTGCATCATGCAAACCACTTTGCAACCCACCCTTGATTCTCCCTTCATGCTGTGTCCAACAGAGAGGTGTTTAGCTTCTCCAGCATTTGTTAGGATCTTTGTAAATAATTAGAAACTATTTTTTTCCCAATCATTTTACTTTCATCAGCCTTCAGAGTCTCTTTCAAATCCAAAGATAAGCATTTTAAATTCTGGTGGAAATGATTTTGAGGAAAGCTACCAGGTACCAGCTTACAAAACAGTAAACTGACCCTTAAAACCATCATTCAGTTATTTTTTAGCTGTTTACGTGTGTCAGAAAAAAAGGAAGAAAAAATGATTTAATCGTTAAACAAACAATTTTATCATCTCGTGAATTCTTAGGCTGAGCTCCATCAGACGGACTTTCCCAGGATGAGGATGCTCATGAAGAAGGCCATGATGAAGAAGAGCCACATGAAGAAGCGATCCATGACCTTGGCGACCTTCCTCCACTCGCCGATGCGCAGCTGTGCTGCTCGCTGGTCCTGGTAGGAGTTGGCAATGTACTCAACATTCTTGCCCAGTTCCTGGTGTTGGCATAAACACTTCACCAAGATCTCCCTCCTGTTCCCCCCATCTCCACCTCCTCCCTCAACACCTACACCTTTCTTTTCCTCTTCGTGCTCACCGCAGTTTGATTCCTCCCCTCGCACTACAGCAGCTCCTTTCTCCTGTGAGTGGTCAATGGTCACAAACAGATCCTCTTTCCAGTCTGTCTGGTTGGTTACTTCCTGCCCCATCTTCAGAGGCTCCACCTCCACCTTTCCTCCCCACGCCTTCCCATTGACATCCCAATTTGCTCCTTTGGTGCTGCCGCCATTGGCTGATGGGCTGTCAGACCCCTCCTGTGATAAAGGTTCTTTCCTGGCGCCACCGAGGCAGTTCTCACCCACCTCGTACACGAAGCAGATGCGGGCGAGGTACTTGAGGATGAAGCGCTCGGCCCATTCAGGCACGGGACGAGCCTCCCCGCCACAGTGGTGGATGTTCATGATGAAGATGGTGAGCGCTGTTGATGCAGTGACCATGGTCATGGTGGCAATGTAGTACTTTCCTATAGAAATAAGACACCGAAAAGTCAGGTAGAGGTTGGTGACCCTTATTTGCTGTCCCTATAACTCCAAATCAAGCTTTAGTCTTAGTTGCAGTAAAAGCATACAGCTGGTGAATATAGGACACTCTGATTAACCCTGTGAAGTCTAAAGTGGGTGTGACTACAGACAGCGGCAGACGAGCAAACATTCCTCTTATACTTCTTTATTTACTGCAGAGGCACTTGGGTAGTTGCTGCATTGCTGCATTGAAGTCTCTGAAAATTGAAAGCTGAAAATCACAGTTAGAGTAAGATCCAAGCTGCTTTGCAACCCACCTCCATCCAAGCTCCACCTATCATTTTGATTGGGTCTGTATCTGAATCCTCTTTGTCAGTGGTCCTCTTGTCATTGATGCCAAGGCTCAGTGACTCAATGAGAGCTGCAAGCTGGAGGTTTTGAAAGGTCCTCAAATCCATCGACAACAACTGTGCCCCAGCAATCACTGAGATGTGCTACTTTTATCCAAATTACATACTTTAAAGGCATCTACAAAAGACTTCTGAAGTCAGTGAAGGTCATGTCTGACTGTAAACAATCAATGAACACAATAGTGTAAATTAGACTTTATAAACTGGTCAGCATCAGGTGTTGTTGGGCAATCACCAGTATTTTCTGCTAATAGATTTAATACAAAAGATTACATCTTTCACGTAATCTAAAAACAGCTCCACCTTCTCCAGCTTCGATTTTAGACAGAGATCAGCGCGACGGTAAGCAAGAACATCCCTCAGAGAGATGTCCAGTAACCATTCGGAGACCTCAGAGTGATTTTCCGTTTCCTGTTGATTGACTCTTTGGTGACTCCTAAATCCCATTTAGTCTTCCCTTTAACCTGAACCTCATTGTAGGAGCCATTTTCATGTTTTGTGTATTATCTTATGTGTGGGACTAGTTTTCACTTTTTGTGTTTGTAAATGATTGGATTTAAGGTAGGAACATTTAATTAGGGTCAGGTTTAATTGGTTGAAGGGACCAAACAGTTTGTGACTGCTGGGATTTATTTTGGATATTAAGATGAACTGTGGAACAGCAAGTTCAAGCAATGATGAGCAATAAATGCTTAATCTAAACAACGCTGGAGCTATTGGAGTTTCTCCATACCACAAGTTTTCAGTCATATTAGTGACATCATGTCAACCCCGCCCATCAAACACCTCAGTGGCTTCAAACATAGGCTTAGCCTCTGCACTCTTTCTGCAGGGAAGCTCTGCTTGCCTAACACATTGGCATAACAGGAAAATCTCTTTGGATTACTCCGAGGATACACTCTAGGGACATCCCTAAGGCTGAAATGTGTCTGTCTGAGGTATCCTAAGGCACCCTCAAATATTAGTAACTTGTCAGATACAGTGTAGCCATGTAACATTTGCAGGAGGGATGATGAATATAAACATTACAATAATTCTGATTCATCATGAATGTTTTTTTTAAATACATAGATGTAAATAAAAGTCAGAGGCTGTTCTCACCTATCAGCGGGACGCTCTCAGAGGGTGGCATGCTCTCAGCTACGAGCAGCTGAAACACGGTGAGGGCCAGCAGCACTGTGACACCCAGAGAAACCTTTTCACCTGAATCCGCTGGCAGGTAAAAGCCCAGTGGAGCCAGAAAGGAGATCATCATGCAGGGAATGAGGAGGTTGAAGATGTAGAAGGAGGCCCGCCTCTTCAGGTGGAGGGAAAAGGTAATGTCTGGGTATGGCTCTGAGCAGCAGCCATACAAGATGACATTTTCTTGGCTGGCATTCCCAGAACCTGGTTAGAGAAAATTTTGGGTTCGTCAAAACATTCATTAAGGATGTGCTAAACACATGACACCATTACTGACCTCCCACTCCACATTGGGGACAAAGTCGGCCAAGTCGGCGCTGTCCAGGGCATTGAACAAATCCATCTGGTTTCCGTTGTGAGTCCAGGAGCCAAAGGTTAGGTCACACTGCTGCAAATCGAAGGGGAAGAAGGCCACATCAACAGAGCAGGAGCTTTTGGTGATGGCTGGCTGGTCCCACATGACTTGGCCATCGTTACGAAGAACAACATTGGTCTCCATGGAGCTGGAAAACTCATCATCTGCACTATGATAGAAACAAGGAAGGAGTTTGAAAACATCAATAAATATCCTGAAGATCAGCCAGCAGGATGATACACCTACCTGTTATACAGAACAATATCGGGTCTCCAAACGTAGCTGCTGGGTATGCGGATGGTGTCAAGGCCATCATAGTCCTCCTTCTTCCATGTGAGAAAGGCATCCATCCATACCTGGCGGACCCACAGGTAGGTAGTCAGGATCTGGTTCCGCTCATCCTGGTGAAAATCCATGAAAACGGCAAGGTCACACCAGTACCTGCCTGACTAGATACAGCATAAAGAGCTGGATAGGCATTCAGGGTTTGATTACCATGTCAATGATCTGGGAGAGAGTGACCTGTAATGTGACATTGATGATGTAGTCGGTGTCCTCCACCGGCCGCAGAGCATTGGTGTAGTTGGTAAATAAGTCTTTCATCAGTTTCTGAGCGAAGCGCCCATGAGCAGCCCGGCAAACTGAGGATCAGAAAACAGATGACAAGAATAGTGCCGGGTCAGGCAGACCTCAAAGTCATTACCTGCAATCGCAACAGATCAACTGATGCACAACTGTTGTGCATTTACAGGCTGCTTTGCAACCCACCTCTACCTGCTGTGGCAGTCGCTCAGTGAAACTGGTCACAAAGAGGGTGCTGCACCAAAACCTTCCTTGCAATAGCATTGGTTCTAGCAGGTCAATGCAATTATCCATAGTTTGCATGGAAGATGCTGAGATGTGCCTAATTATTAGCTAGGTGCTAGCAAAAGCTATAGTGTGACATCAGATATAAACACAGAACATTTGCCCTCAGAGTAAAAGTTGTGCCTCACCTTTGCAGCCAACATGTTTCAGAACATGAGACACACTTTTACTCTGAAGACAGATGTTCTCTCTTTCACTTTTCACAGCTGCTGAATGTTTGCAGGCAAGTTCCTCCATAAAAACTACTGGTACCTGGTACTGGTTAAATGTGATCACTTTCAAGGACCAAATACTTCAGGCTAATGGAGTGTGAAGCGTATGTACACTTTTTTTTTTTTTTTTTTTTTGCCTGTCCCGTTTGGCTCTTTTGCATCAGAATTGTTGTCTAAAGGCAAAGAAAGATGCCCAACGGATTTACTTTACCAAACTGACCATCCCAGCCTTGCCGTAATGGTCCATTTGATTCACCTTTTATTGTTTATTTTATTTTCACTTACTGAACACGGGACAGACTTGACTGGGGGAAAGAAGGGAGAAAGAAAGAGGGAAAGAGAAACAGCTGAGAAGAGGGACGGGGAGAAGGGCAAAAAACAAAAACCAACAGAACGGGCAGAGAAAAAAAATGCATATATCAATCACCTGGATCACCTGCTGAGAAAGAAAAAAGAAAACAAGCAGAAGAGAACAAGAGTAATAGAATAAACAACATCACAATGATATATGGGAATATGACAGTAAATACTAAATGTTAAACATTATTGTGCAGCACATAAGATCAACAGAACACAGTGTGCTTTGAGGTAGGAGCCAAAAAGGGTGTAGTTTGTGGGTGTGATCACCATGTGTGCACACCTGTGAGCATGGACGCGCTTGTATTTAAAAGGTTCCTTCATGTAATGATCTGCTAGAGGGTGTGGGGGGGCCACAGCCCCGTCCTCCAGGGCATGAAGCAGGTATGGAGGAGATCAAAACTCCAGACATCCAGAGGCCCCCAGAACACAAGTATATACGCTTTTTAAATGATGGCGATAAATGTATTTGATATTTTTGTTTAAAGGAGAAGAAGCTGCTTTCCTGGATTTATTAAAAAGACGGCGCATCATGTCAATTTGTTAGTTAAAGGTCTGCCTGTCCATGCTTTAGGAACGATGTGACCACATTCTAATCAGCTGAAGTGAATCCTGTGCTGATGTAAACAGAAAAGAAAAACGGAAGTGATTTTATTTGGCCCAAATGTCTGTGAAGGTTCTCAGTCATCCAGGTCATCGTAGTCAAAGGAGCTTGCAAAGAAAAGCGTCTGGACTTCTTTAAGTTGCTTGAAGACGTTTCACCTCTCATCCGAGAAGCTTCTTCAGTTCTAAGGTCAAATGGTGGAGAGTCCAATTTGGCCCAAATCCATTTCCTGACCCTCCAGATGTTGATTTCACTGTTTGATCTCTCATTTGAAGAATTCAATCACAAATCTTGGAGTAAAAATTGATTCTTGATGGCCACGTGAATGGGGCGGTAAAATCAGCATTCTACCACCTCAGATGTCTATCGAAGATCAAGGACTTTCTCTCCAAACGTAACTTAGAAGCTGTAATTCATGCTTTTATTACTTCACTCCTGGATTACTGCAATTCCCTTTTAATAGGGGCTGGGCACTTTGTCACGCTTACAATTAGTGCAAAAATGAAATTCAACCGCATCACTCCGGTTTTGGCCTTTCAACATTGGCTTCGAATCAAATTTAGGATCCATTTTAAAGTTCTTTTATTGGTTTTTAAATCTTTAAATGCTTTGGCACCTGTTTATTTGTCCGATTTGTTGAAGCCTTACGTTCCAACTCGTTCCCTCCAGTCAGCTGAGCAACTGCTGCTTTCAGTCCCTAAGTCACGGCTGAGACTCAGATTAGACCGGGCGTTCTCTGCTGTGGCCCCGTTGCTTTGCAACAATCTTCCTCTTCATATTAGACAGACTACATCAGTGCCGGTTTTTAAGTCGAGATTAAAAACCTATTTTTATTCTCTGGCTTTTAACTCTTTATTGATTTAATTGCTTTGTTCAGTTCTTATATTATTACTATTTATAGATGTATTGTTCAACACTTGGTCTACCAGGTGTGTTTTTTAAAGTGCTATATAAATAAACGATGATGACGTAAAAAGGATCAAGAAGTCAAGGTGTATAATCGTTCACTCTTCACGCTGTGGTGCACATCTTTAGAATATTTTGCACATGAAACTTTAAGTGTTGTCAAGTCTTATGTAATTTCTCTGTTGCTTTTCTCTGCATTGATCTGCTGCTGGATCCTTTCTACAGAAATGCTCAACGCTACATACCATAACACACACATGCAAACCACATTTCCCAGTTCAATTAACCCAGTAATCACCTCAGCGTTTAATCAGCGAGGGTCTCCAGAGCAGCAGCAGGTTGATAACTGCTCTAATATCCTGTTTACAGTTAATGATGGTGACAGCAGTGCTGAAGGCAAACGATGACTCTGTTTATGAGTCTGTCCAATAGATTTTTCACATAATAAAAACTGGAACAAACAACAAAGGATGAAATTATTGAGTCGTACTTACAAACAACAACAAACAAGCTTTATTTGTCACATACACAATTCTATATAGTACAACATGAGTGATGTGCTTGTGTCCGAGCTGCAGACGTGGCCGTCATTCCAGGGCTTGGTTTGTTTGTTTTTTAGCATGGGCGGTCTGGTCAGGACCCTTACTGGATACTCTGAATCAAACTTGCAACTCCCACTCCAAAGGTGTGTGGTCTTACCATTAGTTTTACAGTGTAAAAAGCAACTCAAGTTTCAAATGTATTTTTTCACGAGCATAAAATACATTCACAAACTGTGCATATTCACCTTTCACACACCATATTTCTTTCCTGAATGTGTTTTTACTCTGCAACAAGATCACACTGTAAATATCTGATGAGAATGATAATCCATCTACTCTCCTATCCCAGCCTGGGTCACAGGGGCAGTAGTCTCAGCTTGTGCCTGACCCTCTGTCACCTCAGCCACCCTCTCATGCTCTTCTATGGAAGTCCTGATGTGTTCTCGGGATAAGGGAGGAATCCTGGTTGGATGCCTGAACTCACTCAGCTGCTTCCTCTTAATGTCGAGGGCAGCAGCTTTACTTGGAGCCCTTCACCCTCTCTAATAATAACAATAATAGTGGCCCATGAATCATTTCTGTAGGAATAATAAAATGGTGTCTGAGGGGGAGAATAAATATTTCATGTTCTCCAAAGTTGTTATCAGGTCAGACATCGTGGCTGGCAGTGCTGATGATTCATGTGAACTCTCAGCCAGACAGCAGCAGATAAACAGCACAGACCTCACTGTTGGCTGCAGAGTGACGCTCACTGAGAAAATCACCTCGCAACCACAACATGCTGTCGCTTTCTGCCTGACACCTCGCAGATTATTGGCTTTATGTAATAAAAAGATTACACTTTATTACAGACCTACAGTCTGTATAAGAGGGAAAATAGAAATGACTTCTTTTGTTTCACAGACTGTAGAGAAACTGTTCGATTCAAATTCAGTAAATTAAAATCTACATAACAACAAAATCCAGACCTAATAGTCTGCTTTTTACGTGATGTTCATTTAAAGATGGCGCAATAAAGAAACCTTTACGGATAAAATAAAGTAAAATAAAAACTCAGATGCTAAACCTTCACCCACTCTGAACACTCGATAACAAGGACTACACACATGCTTTGCACAAAAAAGGAGACACACGAGACTCCGTTTTTGGTTTAACGACCTTCACTTAACAGGAAATAATAGATTACTGCAATATGACTGTAGAGACACAGCGAGGGGGGTCAGAGTGTTCACATCGTCTGTACTAAAATGGAAATGTGGACGTGAAGCTCTGGATCTGTGCAACAGAAGAAAACGGGATTGGGTGTCGTTTCGAGGAACACATGGAGATGGTCCAGTTCTGCTTCAGCTCTGTTTCTGTGTTTAAGGCTGATTCACAGCTGATGTTTTTGTCTGCAAACAAACCCACTGATGGAGAAAAGGTTAAGGTTCTGTTCTTGACCAAATGTGCTACAAAGACAAGGTTAGAAGGAAATACCTGCAGGTAAAGCCCCAAATTAGTGACAATCTTCAGTTTAAATGGAGCAAATTTATAGAAATAGCTTATCTTTACTTAAAAAAGATCCATAAATTAACTGAGTGGTTTGTAAAGTTTTTGATAGTTTGGCATAAAAAGCAAACAACATTTTACCTTTTGATTTAAATTAACTCATCTTTTCAGCAGTGCTTATAAGTAGATATACGTACTTTTTACTAAGTTACTGTGTTTTTAGTAAAAATCGGAATTCACACTAATAAAAATATTTAAGCTTGGTATTCCAGATTGTGCATTTTAATGGTATTTTTACCCAAACAGCAATAAATGTTCGGCCCAGATGTGACCCATGACTGGAGTTTCCTTTGAGCCACATTAACATGACTTTCACTCAGGATGAGTTCCAGTGTCCTTAACTTACCACTGGTCTGCTGTACACGCACCAAATGTCAGCATGGACCACATCTGAACCACACAACATTTACAGCACAGAACATGCCAGAAGTGAGTGTGAAATTTTTGTCATGTGTTTCATTTCAAAGTATTTTCATTTTTCCCTGATTGCCAACATTTGGGAGCACAACTTAATAAAAACCAGACTTCTTGCCCACTACTTTTGCACGACTTCCAATTACTTACAACCTGCTGGTTGGCTTTTTCTCTGTATGTATTATCGTAGG